TATGACTGCATCACAACAGTCTGGACCATCCACTTTTCCTATGCTCTTAGGGCAGTGGATGCCCTCCCCTCCATGGCATGCAGCTTTTTGGGGGATTAAGAAGAAAAGCCTACCTCGTGATGAACAGCTGGGAGGGATGGCAGAAGTGGGGGCTAAGATCAGGAGCTGGACACAAGATATGGGAGGAATTCTTTGGTGCAGTGAAAATGGAAAGGCAGGTGCCTGGAGGCCGAGCTGGGAAAGATGAAAGAATGAAAACCAAAATGAAAGAGGCCAAAGGAACAGGGGATCCAGCAGAGCACGGGAGGGAAACAGCTGAGATGACAGATTGAGAAAAGGGTCGTGGGGGTGAGAGCAGAGGAAGGCCTGTTGACATCAGAGCACTGCTGAGGAGCAATGATAAGCACACAGGAGGGATGAAGAGGAGAGAGCTTTATGAAAAACGAGGTTGAGACAGAAGGCGAAAGCCTGCAAGTGCAAATATACGATAGGTCGCGCCAAAATACAGCAGAACTATTTATTTTTGTGCTGCTCTTATCTTGCGCATTCTGGAAGCAGCACTTGTGGATCTTATTATTTTTGTGCTCTCGGGCTGCCTAGCAATGCCTGGCTGCTGTGTGCTGCCTCTGCCTCGCACAGCTCGCCGGCTGCTTAGCAACTGGCAGGGGGGTGCCAGGGGGCCCTGGACCGGGATCGGGGACACAGCCCAACCCCAAACACCCCGCTGCCCTGGCCAGGCAGGAGGGAGCATCGCCACTTGTTTCGGCTGTGACAAAAGCCTTAGTAATATTAATTGAAGAAAAGCACATGTGGAGATGCTCATGGGAGTGCAGAGAGCCTGATAAATTGTCTGAGAAGTGCTAACAGCCCCATTTGTCTCTGAAATAGTCAGACACCCCTTGATGATTACTGAAATATCAATATGGTTAATTATTCAGGTTCTTAAGGCTCTCTGGGCTAGATCCAAAGCACTGGAAAGCAAACTGACACAGCTACCTGCTTTCTTGTGTGGTTACTTCTAATTTGCTGTAGGAAATATTAAAAAGGCAACTTTTGGCCCCAGAAAGAAAAAAATAAAAAAAAAAAAAATTACGTATTCACACAGGATTGTCCCAGTACAGATACACTTGCATACCTGTATCGCTGTAATCAACATTTTTTTTTTTTTCTTGCAGGAACGTGAGGCTTGGCATTTGGCAGCAGAGCTGATGTGGCTGATCTGAATAGGCCCTGTGGCCTCTGTGCTTCCAGCTGCCCCCTCAAATCCCTCATCTCCCTTTCCATTGCACTGTCAAAAGTGCTTGTGCAGCGAAACAGCTGAATCAGGAATTGATTCAGCCGAGAAACAGCCCAACAAGAAATAAATGGTTATTTTCCAATCAACACGACTGAAGGAAGTACGGCTTTCAAGGGAAAAACAAAGACACATGTCAATTTGTGCCCTAGAAAAGCGAATAGACAGCTACAGAGCTACACAAATTACAGTGCAGAAGTTGCTTTGATACTACTACTCTGATGCTATTCTAAATGGATGCATTTAGAAGTCACATTTTTTCTCTTCCAGTCAAAAATGGACTATGTCCCATAAGGACAGCAGTGCCCCTTGAAATCAGTCTGGCCCACTGAGGAGGAGCAAACCTCAGGCAAAGGGTTGAGAGGTATATAAGCTCATTTGACTTTGAATGGGATCTCATCTAGGTGGTCATTTGGGTAGAGCTTGAGGAGCATCATTACATTCTTTTCTCTCTCACTTCACCCTCTCCAGCCAGGAAAAGTTTAGCTCTCAGCTCTCTTGCACACTTGCATGTAACTTAAGTAACAATTTCTAGAGGACAATCTACTGAACGTAGTTTAGACACACATTAGTGTCTTCAGACAAGGTCAGCTCAAGTCCAAGGGTTTATATTGGCATAGCTACTCAAATATCCCTATGCCTTTAGGTGTTTTGGAATCGCTTGGCGTATGCACCATGCATGCTGATGGAGACAGCTTGGGTCTATTGAGTCTGAGACAATAAAACCTCTGAGAACCTCAGACATGAAGAACTCATCGCAAAGACGCTCGAGTGACCCTACAGAGCCATTCTGAAACCAAGGAGGACTAGCACGGGGCAGCAACTTACAAGGCTGCTTTCTATCTAAACAGTTGAGCATGACTGTACCATGAATCTTAGTGTGTCTTGTATTGCCTGGCCCTTGCAGCACTGCTGCCGGGGTTGTATGGCACTAGGTTAAAAAGTTTTGCCAGAGATGACCTAGCTCAGCGTGGAACCAGTTTGGGTGTATCCTCATCTACAACAGGTCGTACCTAGCTTTCACCATCGGGATACACCCCGGTTGCGCCAGGAAGGTTAATGTGCAGCCAGAGATGTCACAAGGTGGCGCTCTTTGATGGGGTCTTCAAAGGTCCTCTTGAGTTGCGAGCACATTTGGAGGCAGATCATGTATTTAGTTTCGTGCAAGGCCTTTTGGGTGGAGATCCTTTGGAGGTCAAGGGGCTGTGAGCCCTCCTGGAGCCTCTCTTCTACTGCTTGAGGTGGGTGCATTGCCTGGGAGCCAGCACTGCCCTGCTCAGCTGCTGCTCTGCCATCTGCTTGTAGGACTTGGCTGCCTGCTGATGTGAAGCACGATGTATTTAACAAAGCACACACGAATGAATTTTCACGTATTGAAAAAAGTTGATGTGCAAGGTCCCATGCATCTGCAGTCTCTCGGTAGAGGGGCAGCAATAACATTTTAAGAATAGCTGACAACAGTTGTGCTATGTTTGAGAATGCTAACAGTGTCAATGAAGACAGTCTGTGATCTGTAGGCAATTACAGACTCATCCAAGCCACTGGGCGTTCAGCAATTTGCAGCCTGACTGAATAGAGAAATCAAATTTGTCTTTGTATTGTAATAGCTGAAAACAAGAAGTCAATGCCCAGGACGGTTTGTAATCACACTTGCCCTGGGACCTATTAAAGGCTTGTCTATATCTCAATGTTGATGCAGATCACATTTAATTATTTCACTTTTAAAAGGCACTTGGAATCCAAAATAAAGTGTTTTATTGGAAATTACATGCTGTCCTAAAAAGAGTTATTTAAATCACTTTGGAAACAATTTTGCTAAGCTGCCAAATGAATTAGCCATCTGAAGATAGCGATATAGATGCATCCCTGTCCCACAGCAAGTGCTGTGAAGGTACCAGCTCCTTCCTCTGCTGTCCCAGATGGCACTCAAATACCCATCCCAGCATCTGTCTAGCTGTTGCCAGCCATGGGGAGCTGCAAGACCTTCCTGGGCCCAGCAGTCCATTCCAGGCTCCCTCTCTTCATCCTCACTTCCATGGTTCAAGACTGAGATGCTGGACTTCGCTGCACTCACAGGGGGATGATCTGTTTTTCCTCTCTCCACCTTGATGTAGAGACACCAGCAGGTACACCAAAAGGTCTGGACCAGAGCAGTTTTCAGGGCTGCAAACAGAAGATGGACTCTGGTGGGCAGTGGACATAAAATATACCATACAATTAATCGTGTGGAGAGATGAGGCTGTCTGCTCTTACTATGGTGAGTCAGAGAGTACTTCTCCAAAATGTGTTGATATTTCACTGCTGTGGGTTTCTCTGGGACAACTAACAAAATGCAAGGACTGATACCAGTTGCACTTGAAAGTGTGTAAAAAAGGCAGGCAAAGCCAAGGCATGAGTAACGGGCCTTGGAAACAGCTTCGTCTCAGACCGTTCCTCACTGGAAAGGCAGGCTTGGCCATCCCAGCATAGAAACCACCTGCTGTTATTGGCTTTTCTTCTGCTATGACCACAGAAACAGCATTTCACTTCCAAAAAAAAAAAAAATTGTCCCAAAAAATCACTAGCCCCTTATCTTCCACAGCCGATGAGTAATGATGAGTAATGGCTGAGGTAAGAGAGTGGCAGGAGAAATGTATTTACCTCAGACAAACACTTAAGTTCTTCTTCTGGTATTAATAAATAGACAAATGCGAATTGTCAATTATTACTTCTGGGCAGACGTTCACAAAGCTCGACACAGCTCATTCAATTCCCCTCTCCCTCTGGACAGCCACATGGCCAGGGACTCCCCACTGGCCTGAACGCGGCTTAGCTGCGCTGCTCCTATTGTTTTAGCAATTTCCTGCCACCATTTGCTGTCATTTCCCAAATTTCTCCCCCTAGCCTGACAGGAGGCGGCGGCTCGCCGGATAACCGGGGCAGCGCTTCCCTTGACGAATCCTTTTGCCTTCTCCTGAGGAGACCACGCTACCTGAGGGCAACACGGCTGCGAGCGGGACTTTTATTTAGGGACTTTTATTGGGGGACAAAGGGGAGACACAAGAGATCCCTCTCGCCCTTGCCCGCTCGCCCCACCGGCCACCACAGCGCGCGGCCGCCATGTCAACCCGCCCTCCCCGCCGGGGCAGCGCCCGGCCGCCATGAGCCGCTCCCGCCCCGCGCAGGCGCCCGGCGAGGAGCAGCTGCGCCTACAGCTCCCGGCTTGCTTTGCAAAGCGCTTTTTTTTTTTTCTTTTTTTTTCTTTTTTTTTTTTTTTTTCCTCCCTCGGAAGGATGGGTGGGGAAAGCGAGAGCTCACGAAAGCGAGGCGAGGAGGAATCCCACAATACCAGGCGGGTTGCGAGCCCGGCGCTGCCGCTGTCTCTTTAATGCAAGAGGAAGCGATGCGGAGGGGTGGAAAATGGCAGAGTTGCAGATGTTACTAGAGGAGGAAATCCCTTCTGGCAAGCGGGCTCTGCTCGAGAGCTACCAGAACCTCACTCGGGTCGCCGACTACTGCGAAAACAACTACATCCAGGTGAGGGGCGGCGGGGCAGCGCCCGCCCGGCGGCACCGGGGCTGGGCTGGGCTCTGCGGGGCCGGAGCCGCCTCGGGGGCACCGCGGCGCCCGCCCGCTCCCTTTTCCCCCGGCTTTGCCTTTTCTTTCAACTTTCCCAACCGAGGAGCCACCGGCTTTCCCTCCCCCTCCGCGCTCCGGCGGGGAAGGGAGGAGGGGGGGTATTATGTCAGTCGGGCTCGGAGGGTGTGTCTTTTTTTTTTTTTTTTCTTTCCTTTCCTCTCTCTCTCCCCCCCCCCTCCCCAGCTCTGTATTTATTCATTATGAGTCACATCCCGGAGACCTCCCCGTTCTGGGCACGGAGGGCGGGCGGCGGAGCCTCTCCCGGTGCCGCCGGCCCGGCCCCCGCTGCCTCCGGTCGCCCCTCGGCGGTTGGCGGCGGTTGCTCGGGGCGGGCGGCTCCGCGCCTCACGGGCGGCCGCCGCCTCCCCGCCGCCATCAGCGGCCCCCTGACGGGGCTGCCGGGGGGGCTCCGAGCCCCATCTCCTCCTCCCGGGAGCCCTCCCGGTGTGCCGCAGCCCTAAAAAGCCGGAGCAGGGAGCTGCCCGGGCACTATCGGGGGGCGGTGTTTCAAAATGGCAATCGGTGCCTCTCGGGGGCTCGGCGATTCCCACATCCTGCAGCGAGATGCTGGAGGAGGCTCCGTTGCCCATACCGCTCGGTGTGGATTTCTCCTTTTCTTTTTAACCCTGGTTTCCTTCTTGGCCTTTCAGTCGGTTTTTATTGTGAAGCTACTTCATGCTGTTAAGGCTTTTTGCAGGGTTTGCAGCGCGCATCGCTCAGTGTAGGTCTGTAGGTGTAGCCATGGCGTGGATACAGAGCCAGCGAGAGATGCTCGGATTAAACCTTCCTGAGGAACAGAAAACAGGAGGGGAAGAGCAAACAAACTCCTTGCTAGGCAGCCTGTACAGTGAACTTGTTGAACGTAATGCTAGGCTACCTGCGATGACTCCTTAATACAGGTTATTAAAACCTTTGGCCCCCGTTGTTGCTGCTGAGCTGCCTTACTACTTGTAATCATGGAGCAGCAAATTTGAAAATAAAGCTTTAATAATGTGTTGTGAAGTCCTTTTTTTTTTTTTTTAATGAGCTAATTCTGGTACTTGGGTTAAAACTGCATGAAGAAGCCATATTTTTAAGGCTTTTTTTTCCTTTAATTTTGGTATGTGAGGTAATATGAGTTAATGTGTATTTACTCTTCCGAGTTGTTTGCTCCACCCAAAGAAAGCTGCTGATACAAATGCTTCTGAGAGGCGAGGTTCATTTGGTTTTACTCATGGGAAATATGACAAATACATGAGCATGGTAATTGCGGCACAAGTTTTGACCTGTCTCCTGCTCCTGACTTTTTCCCCATGTCAGAAAGTTAGAGACTCTTCGGTTACATCACTTTCTGCAGGGTCCTAAAACTTGCCTTTTTTTTAAATCAAGAAAAAAGTAAACCAGCACTTAAGCTAGTTCCCATCCAGTCATTTGGGGTGGAGTGTTTGTTTTTTGTTTTTTTTTAAATTGTTAGTTCATTTTCACCTCGGGTATCAAGGTCAGCTGGATGTGGGATTGTTGCAGTTCGGTTATCCACGTACAGCTGTGTTTACCCCTTTTGGAAAGAAGCTAAAGTTCCTAATAAGGACTTAAGGCAGTAGCTTTGAAAAATGTATCCCTTGTGCATTTACTCAACCCAGTAAAAATCGCAGAGATATCAGTAAAAGTCCTTTTTTGTTGTTTGTTTTGTTTGAATGACAGAGGTGGGTGTTATTCTTTTAATTGGTGCTTTGTACCAAGCCACCTGCTCTCCAGTTGGACTGCCCAACAGGTCATGGCCCTGGTGCCCATGGTGGGGCCGCTGAAGGGTTGAGCTGGTCAATGTGTCAGGGAGCATTTTATTATAATAATAATATTTTAAAAGGCTGGAACAGAGAATCTGAGCATTCTGTGAGTGTTAAAGTAGATATGAAGAGGCTGTGCCTCGTATCTGAGCCTGTAGCATGTAATTGAGTCAATCTGGCCTCTTGGAGCTTGGATAGCTTTGAATTTGGGTTTTCTCTGAAAGGCTATGTGCCCCTCTGTAGGAAGACTGTTACTGTGCACCACCACCTGTGCTGCCTTGTGGCGTGGAGGTGGAACAAGTTTGACTATTCCAAGTGTGATATTAACAAATTACAGTAACTGCACTCGGCTCTTTATTCAAAACTCTTGTTAATCTCCCCTTCATGCTTTTTATTCTTTGTTCGCTTTAACAGGTAAGTCATGTTATCCCCACCCACCCATAAGATATTGCTGTATTCAAACTCTAATATTTTATAATATTAGAATACATACAAATCATCTTTATCTCCATCACTTAATCTAGGAATAGTTCTGGTAGAATTCAGAGTTGTGCTGATTTCTTGAAGAAAATTTGCCTTCAGTGTCTTTAGGAATCCCTCAAAAAAAAAGGTGGGGAGAAGAAAATACTCTCCTCAGTGGAACTTGCTTCCCTGATGGTGACTCTAGCTGTCAACAGTAAGCATCCTTTTACTAAAGCATTTAGGAAAGATGACAGCATCTGGGCCTCTCAAGGTGAAAATCACTGTTCTTGGAAAAGTGGGAAGCAGTTTCTTGCTAGGGCAAATTGCCAATATATCAGAGTGCCAGGCGGTAACACAATTTGCCCCCCAGACCGTATGTATTCAGGTTATCTAGAATCTGATTTTATCTGATAGTAAGGGGGGGGGGAAAATCAGAAGCAAAGCAAATAAGTTCTTAAAGCACTGCAGTGCCACAGTATGATGGCAGTCTTGGGAAGCACGGGGAAAGAGAGGGAGACAGAAAAAGGGAAAAGAAACCAAATGTAGAAGTAGTAATCGAAGGAAGTTGTGATTCTATTAGTGGGGATTTTGGCTTTGGCTACAAGGCAAAAAGAAATTATAGGTACATTACTGGATTTAATTTGTAGCCAGATACTTTACGTCTGTTATGTTTCTGGTCAGAAGCTTCAGCGACAAGTAGGTAGATTATTTGCTTTTAGATCAGACTTCAACTCAATAGTTTTAAGAGCAGGTTTTGAATATTGAACACTTAACTGAAAGTACATTTTCCATCTCCTTAAGTAAGTTTTGTTAAAGGTAGAGAAGTTACATTTTTCTAGATGTTTTTTAAAATATTTTATATTTGCGCTCTTTAGAATACTGGTCCAACTGCTATCTTGGTGACGGAGCCTTACTTTTATAATAACATAGAGTTAGATCAGCGATGGGGGGGAGAGTGGTAGAACTATCTTAAAATGGAAATAAAATAAACATTTTTTTTTTTAAAAAAAAAAAAAAAAGATGCCATACACATGTAAGTTGAAGTGCTTAAAGCCTTCTCCAAATCCTCTTGTCAGCGAATAAAATCTGAGACTAGCCCTTTCGGGGTTTGTGGAATGGTGAAAGTTTATCTGAAAATGTGTAGCATAAAGCTGAAGATAGTAGTGAGGAACTGTATTATCAGTATCCTGAAAAGTATGAAAACTTTATCAGCACGAGACAGAAATAACAGATGGAGTTAAAATACTTGCGGTTCTAATTACGATTCTTCAGCTGAGAATACGAGCTACTGGAGAGATTCTCCAATCACTTTTCAGGCTGAATTGAATTGTTTTCAGTTTTTAATGAATTCATTTTAAATAGCTAGCTTAAAGAGTGTTAGCAATGGCACAGGAAATGAGCGTCTCCAGTGTCAGCGTGCTGATGACTTCCTTTTGAATAACTTCAGCTGATGCAAGCATGGAGGCCTTGCCTATAAAACGTCCCCTACTACTGTCCCCTACGGTTGAAATTGGCTATCTTGTATAGCCTTGAATCTGCCTGTGCATAATCATCAGTTGTCACCAGTTTCTTTACTTCTGATGCACTTGGAATTTTTCTTAAGCTCAAATATGGTTTTAACGTTACTGAGACCCTCTAAACGAATAGCTCGGAATACGTACTGTTCGTGTCAGTTCTGCTCTTGGTGGTCTCCAGTGGGTAGACTCAGCAGCTGTGGAAAATAAACTAAGTGAAAGGCGTATTAAGGAAGTAAGTACCGTGTTGCCCAAACGTGTGCGTTTTTGTTGTCATGTTATTTCCTTCTGTAGCCTCCAACCGGTATGTGGAAACTGAATGGAGAGTTAACAAGGTGTTCTGGGTGACACAGACAAAAGCAGAGACAGATTTCAGGTTGGCTATTACAAAAAAATTAAAAGTCTCTTTCCAGCTGGTAGAGAAATGGATGCGTCTTGTGGAGGGGAAATGCTGCATGCAAGAAGTTTCACAAGTGCTGATGTGATCTTCCAGTTTGCGTATAAGGATCCTTTCTGCTCAGTCAGTTGAATGTTCCGTGCTTCCTCTACAGTAGATAGGACATCGGGGAAGGGAAGTAACTTCTTCTGTCGTGTTTTTTTTTTTCCTTAAATGCTGGTAACAACTCTGACACTCGGTTTCATGCCTGGGGTGTGGAACGTAGCGTAGCTTAGCACAGTGCAAAGCGAGCGGCTCACTCAGGATGTCTGATGCAGGAAATGGCCTGCTTTAAAAGGATAAACTTCTTAAATTGTCCCTAATACAAATCTTTTACGTGCTGTGGGAACTTACGTGCTTTTATGTTCATAGGTTAATTGGTTTGTATCAAGAGAGTAAATAAGGGCTATTTTTTTTCTGGTTTCCTTGCTGAATTTGGAATGCTTTACAGGAAAAAGCAAATGAAGCCAGCCCTCTTTCTGTAAGATAAAATATGGACGTGTCATCCGCTATCCCTTGTAGGTTTAAATCGTACTCTTTCTATTAATTAAGAAAAAATGTTCGCTTATACTTGAAACACTGTTCCCTTTTAAGGTCGTTTTATGCTAACAGCAAATGTTTTGGTTAAAAGCACTGTTTGCTTGTAGGTGTGTGTGTTTTGTTTTCTAGTCATTCGGGTACGGGTTGGTGGCTTTGGGTTATCGGTCTTCTGCGCCAGCGTGTTGTCTTTGTTTTGGAAAATATAGCTGCATGTTGAGCTTGGAAACAGCAAGAAGGCAGGAGAACAACTTCATTACATGGCCAAGCGGTTGCCCTGTGCATACAGGAAATGGATCCTAAAGTAGCGTACGTCTGTTTTGTGTCCAGAAGACGCGGTTGAGAGGAAATCAGCTTTTCCAAATCTGAAATGTTTGCATTAATTTCAGTGTGTGAGGTGAGTACTGCATCCTGCACTTCGTGCTGCTCCCTTCCTCCTGCTCCTGTGCTGGAACGAAGATGCTCGCAGGTCGTCTGTGGTGGGTGTACATTAGGCGTGATCTTCGTGCTGCACCAGGCACGTGGAGTTGTTGCAAGGAAGAGAGAACCTGTAAGAGGAGCAATTGTCTGATATTTCTGTTCCTCCAGAGCTCTGGGGGCTCGGTGCAGTCAGTAACTCATGGTAAAGTGAAAATGGTTGGGCCTTCAGGACGGGTTGTGAAGTGGATCACATGTAAGGGAAGATAAGAGTGGAGGGACGGGCTGTGTACAAATAGGAAGTGTTGCGCCTCCGAGGGCAAAGTTCCCATTAATCTGTGCTGCTGGTCTAAGTTTAACAACAAAAACCAACCTTTGAAGCAGTACGATTCAACTTCCCAATGTCTTTGTGTAGTATTTCAAACTGTCTTCATTTCTCAGAAGCATAAATAGAGGCGTAGAGTTCATA